TGGATAAGAACAATAAAAATGATAAAAGGGATAGAGATAGGGCATTTGAAAAAAAAAAAAAAGAAAAGATTGTTCAGTCTCAAAATAAAAAGTAAAAGAGGGCTTTAAATTATCTCATGAATATGAAGGGTTAGCACAAGGAAAGTGGTAGGTTCTTAATCACTAAAGTGAAACAAAATTAAATTAGTTTACATTGAAGAAAGAATGTGCTGATAGTGATGATGCAATCCAGTGTCACTGAGGACACAGACATTAAAAATCTCAATCCTTAGAGATCTTTACAGTGTAAAGTGGGTTTGAGGGTATTCCACTGTGATATCTGACCTGTAATTACCACGCACATTCCTCCCACATCTGATGTCGGTGTTGCAAAGAAGGGCTTCCTTTGCAAAGACAGGACCATAAGACCTCTTAGAATTCTCCTGATTCTTTCCTTGAAATTCAGTAACTGGAAAATTCCTTGAAATACATTCCAGTTTTTTGTTTTTTTTTTTTCTTTTTAACAAAAGGATAAGTGGCAGACAATTGATTGCCCACCTGTAGCAGCTGCTACTGGTGCCCGGAACATATCGTGTCATTCATATGTATGCAGTGTATGTAGATGGGGATCTCCACCCCAGGGCTTTCTTCCTAACAGTGGGTAGGGCAGTTACTTGACCTTACTGGGGCTGATACAAAATCTGGGTATGGATTTGCTAGTCTTACGCACTGAGTCTTGGCAGCACCACAATCTGAGGGCTCAGAGAGTGTCTAATTTGCTACGGTGGGATCTTACATAATACTGTTCTGCCATCAAGGGACTCATTTTATGGCAGAGTAGCAATGACAAGCCTGTGACTACAGGATCCATGAGTCCTGTCATGATACTTCATTCTCCATAAGTACATAAGTACGATAAAACATTTTCTTTTTTTTAAAGGAAATTTTACACTAAATGTGGGTCTTGACTCCTGACTCTGAGATCAAAAGTTGATGCTCTACCCACTGAGCTAGCCAAGTACCCTCTGCCTGATGAAACTCTTAAAGGCCTCTTAAAGGTGGTGCTGAAGAGCCAACTTGAGGTTGATCCTCTTTTGGGGTGGGGCCCTGTCCTTTAAAATGCCCTTCATATAGCTTGAACCAGAGGACAGAGAATGCCATGTGTCCAGTTGCTAGACTATCCACTCCCAGCCCTAATAGAGGACGTATGAGTGAGCTAAGTTTATCAGGGCCATTTCATTTGTTAGTGATTGGTTTAGGAGAAGTGGGCTGAGTGCGTCTTGGAAAGATGGAGTTCCAGAATAAACACATACTGACATGTAGGAGAAGCTACCGTTCCCTTCTGGCTTTGGAAATATTGTGTAAACATAATGCTTGGAACCATGGCAGCCATCTTGTAACCAAGAAGGGAGAGACCGTAGACGCTGAGAATGGCAGGGTTAAGAGACAGAATGAGGTAGGTTCTCGATAACACCAGTGAGCCTTTGAAGCAACTCTGGAATTGCCTTCCTCTGGACATTTTAAGTGAGATAACAGACGGTTTTATTGTTTGAGCACTTTTAGTCAGAGATGGGTACTTTCAGGTGATATCTGCAGCAGATACCGCTGACGGGCTTTCTTTCCCACACTTATTCCTTCTCGTGGCTGTTTCCATGTTGACAGTGTCTGCTTTCCTATAGAGAGGCCCAAACCGCCAACACTTTCCCAGGGTCCCTTCCAGCTAGAATGTGAACATGTGACCCAATTCCAACCAATAGGACTTCAGGATCAGTCTGAGTCGTCTGAGAAAGGATTTCCTCCTTAATAAGAAGTGGCGTTAGGAAAGATGCCCCTAGTTTTTGGCTAGATGCTTTTGTGTCTTCATGTGACACCTGAAACCACGCCTGCCACCTGTGACCAAGATGGCTTAAGGATGAAGCCGATATACTGAGAGTGAAAGATGGTAAAAGCTCAGATCCTCAGTCACATGGCAGAGTCTCTGGGCCCATCTTGGACTTGACCTGTCTCTTAAGTTATCTCTATGTGAGGCCAATAAGCGTCATAGTTTTTCGTTGAGTGTTTTGCTCCTTCAAGTCAGAACCATTTTGCCTCAAACATAGAGTATCCTCTGCTACCTCAGCTCCCCCAACTCCTTCTCAATCCCCAGAAATGAAAGAACAAAAAGGTTTCTGTTAAACTTCTGAACATTGGCTGGCCCTGGTTTTACATTATAATGATTATGGAAAATGTTAGTAGTAGTTTGCCATGTGGTCACAGACTATTTCTGCGACCCTTCACATAAAACAGATCATTAAGTGTTCTGGAGAATTACAAAGACATCTCCCTGAATGCCCCTGCAATTTGGAGAAATAACAAAACTATAAAAGGTACTGTTGGATGTTTTCATTTAGTTGGCTGTTATAGTTTCTGAACTGAGTTCTTCTAAAAAGAGGGAAAGTGAAGCCAAATTCCGTAACTCTCAAAAGCTCTAAATAAAAATAAAAATACACTGGAAACTTTGCTAAAAGAAAACAACTGTATATGTATTATTTTATTTGAAAAGCAAAACTTCTAGAGACTAGAAAAATTATATTTGTTTAGCCTAAGCTAACAAGGTGAGAATTTAGAATTTTAATTCCAAGGAATATTTTGTTTTAAAAATATGTCATATATATATGTATGTATATACACACATATTTTATAATATAAGAAAGAGATAATGAAGAAAGATGTGAAGATGTTGCTGGAATTCTATTAGTCTGCTTCGTACTTATTGATGGAAAAAAACTTTTAATACTGGTTTTCCTAAGATATATACATATACATACGTATTTATATTTACTTTCCTCACTTGGAAATTACTTCTTTTCCTAGAGGCTTTTCTGGTTTTGGAACTACCATTTATCTTTTTTTTTTTTTTTTTTAAGATTTTATTTATTTATTTGACAGAGAGAGAGATCACAAGCAGGCAGAGAGGCAGGCAGAGACAGGCGGGGTGGGGTGGGGGGTGGGGAAGCAGGCTTCCCGCTGAGCAGGGAGACCGATTTGGGGCTGGATCCCAGAACCCTGGGATCATGACTGAGCTGAAGGCAGACACTTAACCGACTGAGCCACCCAGGCACCCTGGAACTATCATTTGTACTGTACTTCCCTCTGCATGCAGAAAAATAGTGGTCTTTCATTTTATTAAAAGATTTTTATTTATTTATTTGACAGATCACAAGTAGTCAGAGAGGCAGGCAGAGAGAGAGAGAGGAGGAAGCAGGCTCCCTACTGAGCAGAGAGCCCGATGCGATGTGGGGCTCAATCCCAGGACCCTGAGACCATGACCTGAGCCAAAGGTAGAGGCTTTAACCCACTGAGCCACCCAGATGCCCCATTGGTGATCTTTTTAGATAATTCTGCATTCCATTAGTCTTCAGGGTCTATCCTTTGATAGCATCTCTATAGATTAGCAGCAGCTGAACACATTTTGTAGTGGAGGAACAGGTTGCCTGAATCAGGTATCCACTCCTTTAGGTACCTATATTGGCCTGGGGCCCAAGGTGAGTGAGCTTTCTTTGCTCTGTGCACCATCACTCCACCCTAGTTCAAGTTCAGACACCTTCACTGATTTTAGAAATTCTCTTGGGAAGTGTGCCCTTGCTTTTAGCCTGAGGCTGGCTCAGAAACGTCACCTTTCACCCACTTAAAGAAGTTTTGCATGGCAGGGAGATTTACTATTCAAGTAGCTATTTCTAGCTCCTTCACTGCTTAAAAAAAAGAAAACCAAAAACCTCCAAATCATTTTTATTTCCTGTGGTATCAGATCTGACTTAATGTTATAACTTTGTTAACAGACCCACTAAATATTTCGTTAGGTTAAAAAAAAGGAAAAAGCCGGGGCGCCTGGGTGGCTCAGTGGGTTAAGCCGCTGCCTTCGGCTCAGGTCATGATCTCAGGGTCCTGGGATCGAGCCCCGCATCGGGCTCTCTGCTCAGTGGGGAGCCTGCTTCCTCCTCTCTCTCTACCTGCCTCTCTGCCTGCTTGTGATCTCTCTCTGTCAAATAAATAAATAAAATCTTAAAAAAAAAAAAAAAAAAGCCTAACCCTCCTACCACTAGGGTAATGAAAGTCATCTTTTTAATAGAGCACTGCGGTAGTTGTTTTAGTCATTTGTGTTTTGGTTTGCATTTGTTTGCTTGTGGGGAGGCAGTGTACCCGCACTCAGGTCTTCTTTCCTTTTGTGGTTTTTTAAAATGAGATAAATTCTTTAAAATACAGTAACACTTCTAGATTCAGAAGTAGAATGTCCAAAAACAATAGTTTGGAGTAAACTTTAGCTTTATGACAACAAATATCAATCTTGTATAGATAGCGCGTGCATTTACAGAAGATGGGTTATTTGCTGGGCTAAGTGAAGCCAAAGCAAGAGAAATAATAGAGGAATTTGCTTTGAATCTTGGGAGTCCCTCTCGCTTCAGATATTTCCGAAAACGATTTTATTTTACAAAATTTGTCAACAATGTGTGCAAGAACAGGATAAATGATCCAGTTAAGAATGAAAATGATATGCATATCATTTCATGATCTATGTTCAGATTTAAACACCACAGCAGTAACTGCGTTTCTAGTTATTTTTCGAGGGGAGGGGCGGTCTTTTCCCCCCGGAGAGACAGTCCCCTTGCACACCCTCCCGGAGCCGCCGGCCCTCCGCCCACGTCGCGGCAGCCGAGACCGCCTCCCCTCCCCCAGCCGCCACGGTGCGATCCCTCCCTCCGGCCGGGTCCCCACCCCGCGGCCGGTGGCGGCTGGGTCCCGTCCGCGGCGGCTCCGCGAACGACCCGTAGTAACCCCGTCCCGCCCCTGGCCGACCGCGCCGCGCTCCCCCGCCGGAATTCGATAGGCCCAGCCCCGCACGCGCCACCGCCCGCTGGCCAATGGGCGGCGGCCTCTCTGCATATGCAACGAGCGCCGGCTGGGGGTGAGCGTCCCGGGCGGTTCGGCTCAACAGACGCTGGTCTGCCGGCGCCGGCCTGCGACGCTGGGATTGTGGCCCCGGCCGGGGCTGGGACGAGGCGGCGGCGGCGGCGGCAGCGGTCGGGACACCAGACGGTCGCCCCCTTAGAGTGCGGCTGCGCCAGGGTCCCCAGGAGGCGGCACGGGGCGTGAATGCTCTGGGGGCGCAGCCAGGCCTGCGTGGGCCCGAGGCTGGAGGAACCGGGGCTCCGGCGTCGCGGTGAGTGTGGCGCCCGTTGTGGGAGCGGCGGGGGCTGGTCGGCGGCGCGGCCTCAGCGTGCGGCCGGGCTGAGCCCGAGGGCGGCGCGGGTTTGGGGCCCGGATGTGGCCGCGGAGCCAGGCCCCGGGGTTGTGCGCCGCGGGGGTTGCGTGGCGGCCCGCGGCGCGCGCGTGTGTGTGTGTGTGTGTGTATGTGTGTGGAAAGGCCGGGCAGGGTGGGAGGCGCCGCCGTGGGGTTTGGGAAGCTGGTGACGTGGGGCCTGGGCCGAAGGGCCCACGTGAGCGGGGGGGAACGGCCGCCGGGTGACTGCGCGGTCCGGGGGAGGAAGGGTGCCCCGCGTCCCTCCCGGCGCTGTGGGGGCGGACGGTATGGGGGGCTGGCGTCTTTGGGTGGGCGTTGACGCGTTCCTGCGAGGAAACTGAGCCCTGCGGTTCCGGGAAACCCTGCTGGAGGGACCGGCGGGGGTGTGTGTTGCCGCCGACTGTGGGGAGAAATTGGGTGGATGAGCAAGGGCGACCTTGGTATTTGTTGTGGCCGCGATGGGTGCTGGTGGGGCTAGGATTGACCGGTGGTTGGGGTTGAGAGTTGCAGGTTTACTTTTCCCTAAGTGCGGTTTAATACATCAGTAACAGAATGTGTCACGCTGAGGTGGTGCTCGCGCAATCAGCAGTCCTGCGGGGGAGGGATGATCAGGCCCGCTTCCTAGGTGAGCATCCCGAGGCAGACATTTAACTGGTTTATCCAGCCTGCATTTAGAAAATGTGCTCTAAGCTATTGCATATATGACCCCTCAAAAATAGAAAGGGTAGAGCAATATCTTTAGAACTATATGGAAGCTAGAGGAGGAATAGGCCTGTGTGAAAGCGATCATCGCTGAATACAGTGACAAATAGTTGACAGTTTATTGAGGCTTTATTACATGCTAGGCACCGTACTAAGTGCTTTATGCACAGTACCTTCACACAGTTAACAGCCCTCTAGGGTAATGCTTATTACCATTTTACAGCTGGAGAAACTGCAGTTTGGACGCATTAACTTGCCCCAGATCACAGCCTGTTAAGAGAAGCTGGGATTCAGACCCGCCTGTGTTAAAACCCAGAGCTCTTGCATCTAACCACTTGTATTATGCTGCCTCTCCTTGGTGGTTGGCTGAATAGTTGCCACCGTGAATTTTTTTTGCGGGGGGGTGGGGTGGAGGGGGGGCCAGGAGAGCTGTAGTTTGATGACCTTCATTCCTGATTATCACAACCTTTTTTGTTTCTCCAGATTAGTCCTGGGAGCTGAAGGTTGTTCCCCTGTTGTCTGAAAGTGTATTAGAAGGTTATTGAAGGGAAGAGGTGTTATGAGATGGTAGTCATTTGCACAGACTTTATTCTTTTGTTTTCTGGCATCTTACTCTGCAGTTCTTACCTTGGGGATGACTAAGACTTCTGTAGTCACTGTGGCATGTTCTTTAGACTTTTCAAGCTGTCTTTTACGGGAAGGGTCAAGGTGACAAATCACCTCGTGTCGTCAAGTCTCTGTTACTGGATTTGTTAAGATATTTCGACAGGATTTAAAGCTGAAATACTCTGAGTCTAAAATGCCCTTCTTGAAGAAAAAGGAAGAAGAAGGAAGGTTTGAAAGAAATGAAAGATGGGTAAATTATGAGAAAGGAAATTATGAAAGGAAGTAAATTATGAAAGGGTAAATTATGAAAAGAAGAAGGAAGAAGGTTTGAAAGAAATGAAAGATGGGTAAATTATGAGTGGAAAATCATGCTGTATCTGGTGGGGGTGTGTGTCAGATCTCAAAGCCTCAGGATCTTGTGCTTCCCTGCTGTCTGATTCTGCTTAAATGACTATTTCCATTCCTCATTCAATTAATTGCTCAGCCAGAGCCTTTCACTCATGTTGTATTTTAGGTCCCATGTAAGGCTGGGAATATAGTGTTGAACAGAACTGATGTGATCCTTACTTTCATGTAGGAAACAGATAAGAAGCAAATCATCATACAGATAAATACTTAATTACAAATTATGAGAAGTGCAATGAAGGAGAAGTGTGTGAATGAAGATTTTAGTGAGGATTATGATTTAGATGGAAAGTAGGGAGTTTTTTGAATTGATAAGGTGAGGTTTTACAATCTTGCATTCTGAGTCTCTAATTAAATGTGCCTAATGCAAGAGTTTGAGAACTTTTGAACACTATTGTTCTTTTCATTTCACGGTGTCTGATCCTACTCAGAATACCACTCTAGCTCATGTTACAAGATGGAAAATGAGATCGGGAGCTTTTTGAAGCAGTCATTCTGCCTTACAGCCTAACTGTTCTGTAGTACTTAAATTTTCCCCTCTGAACGTGAATATTTGGGAACCAAGAATCTTTATCTAAACTTTGGACTTGATAGGAGTTGGATGTTTTCAGGAAAGCCAGGCCAAAAAGGTGACAGGTTTTCCTAACTTGAGATAAGTAGCATCCTGATTATCAGAAGTATCCAGGGTAGTTATATTTGACTTAAAATTCTCACCTCTTAGGAGACAAAATGATTATGTGGTTTGGGAAATACAAACTGTTAAGTACATGAATATTTCAGTTGAATGTGTATTAAGGCAGTACAAATAATTCATTGCAATACATATACTGAAATGCCGTCTGCATGCAAAACACTGCTAGGTGTACCATGTGGAAAAGTAAAAAGGTGAATTTGACAAAGTCCGTTTTCAAGGAGATTTAAATTTAATGAATAGTAATGCTCAGATTTAAGTCACGTCTCTCCCCCCAGCCTTTTCAAAGTACTCATGTTAGCCCATTTGATCCTTTTAAAAGCCTTGTATCACCAGGAGAAATACTGAGAAAAAGGAAATTTGGTGGTAAAATTGCCAGACATGGTGATTAATAGTTGGGAGAAGCTGTACAGTGATTACTACTTTACTGTCTTGGAGCCATCATACAGAGGTGATGTAGACTCCTGGGCTTGGGTGAGATTGTCTGTGGAGAGGCTAGAATGAGACAGGTGGAGGCCTGGGATGGAGCTGGGTAGAGGAGGCTGAGCTTGGCAAATGAGATGGAAGGAGTGGCCAGGGAACCTGGCTCAGGTGGGAGCCCTAGCTGGAGTGGTATCCCTGCAGCCATTGGGGGAGCTAAGAGGGAAATTGAGTAACGTCCTGTGGATTTAGCGACTCCGAGGTCATGAGTGCCCTTTTGCAGGTGATGTTGATGGGATGGGAAGCAGAAGCAAGTAGAAGGTGAAGAAAATGGAGATAGCAAGAACAGGAAACTTTCTAGAGTTTTGTTTTTTTTTATCATTTAAGTTTAAATTCTGATGGGAAGGTGTTCATTGAAAGGGAGAGGTTGAATACAGATGAGAAAAGTGTTTGCTTATTTTTGCAAAGTTCCTGAGAAGATGGAAGGGGGTGGGATCCAGATGAGGCCTGAACCTTAGCCAGGAGGAGACACACCTTTTCTGTAGTAATCCAAGACAGGCCCGTAACTGATCTGACACTAGTCAGTACTTTATTCTGGAGCCTTGGCAGTTTTCCAATAATTACCAAGAACTGTTAAATTCCAAAAAACTAGCTCAATTTTAGCTGACCCGATAGGTTCTTTACAAAACCTCACTATAGAAGCTTTGCGTGAAATTGATTTAATGTGTGATTTAATTTTGATTTCATCCACCTTAATGGGGTATGTACTTTAATCTGACTTGTGATTATTATTTTTCTCCTGAAAAAGACATTATAAATACTGTCCTGTGATTTCTTCTACATGCTCTTTTTAGTTTCATAAGAAACAGTTTTTAGACTACTTCTGTTTCCCTGACATTTTAAATGACTTAATTTTTTTCATTTAAAAGTTTAGCTTCTTGGGCACCTGGGTGGCTCAATTAATTGCCTGCCTGGTCCGAGGGTCCTGAGGTTGAACCTCGAATATGGCTCCTTGCTTTGGGGAGGAGGGGGAGCTGCTTCTCTCTCTTCCTCTGCTATTCCACCTTGCTTGTGCTTTCCCTCTCTCTATGTCAAATAAAATCTTTTAAATAAAAGTTTAGCTTTTGTTTTTACCGGAATATGTTTTACATACATACATGTAATTCCCACTCTGAGGGATAAAGTATTAATTGGTGGATGATTCAGAGGGTTCAACTGATCTGCTAATTCTTAAATAGAACTGAAGATACCTAAATAACCTTTTGGATAAACCACCTTCAGTTACAGGTTTCTACTTGCCCTTGTTGTATTTGTTATATGTAGGGAGACTGCTTTATTCGTTCATATATTTATTTAATGCCTGTCTTGCAAGACACTGGGAATTTGAAAATGATTGATAGTTTCTGTTCTCAGAGAGCTCTTCTTGGTTGATGGAAGTAAGTTGTATGAACATTATATGGTGTAGGCAAGGAAGGTGTAAGGACAGAAGTATTGCAGTGTGGTATAACCAGTACAGACAGCAGGAGAGGAAGAAGGGGAGATTTTGCAGTGGAGGTGATAGTGACCTGAGTCTTTTTCTTTTCTTTTCTTTTTTAAATATTTTTATTTATTTATTTGACAGAGATCTCAAATAGGCAGAGAGGCAGGCAGAGAAAGAGAGAGGGAAGCAGGCTCCCCACTGAGCAGAGAGCCTGATGCGGGGCTCGATCCCAGGACCCTGAGATCATGACCTGAGCTGAAGGCAGAGGCTTTAACCCACTGAGCCACCCAGGCGCCCTGATAGCGTGGTTTTCTAAGATGAATTGGGCTGAAGGGAACGAGGGAGCCAGGGAATAGAAAGTTTGTCTTGAATTTGGTCCAGGTGTGTATGTCTACAAATATGTACATATTGGAGATATTATAATATCAAAGAATATTAGAAAAATAAAAAGCTTATCTTGCTATCCTAACATTGCTCAAGAGGTCAAAAGCTGTCCATTTTTCTGTTTGTCATGGTCAGCCTTTCTGTCCCCTACTTCACTTAGAAAGTAACCACAATTAACACTTTCCTGCTACAAAGCTTAGTTTTTCCTCTTCTAGAGGATTGGTCTTTGGA